TTGTCATTTTTTTTCAAGCTATGATTTTAATTTCACATGTTGTCGACAAAAAAAAAATTGGTAACTAAAATTATACAGTGAATGCTTTGCGACGACTATATCAGTACGGGTTTTTTTGCTGCTGAGTCATCCCTACGGGATTCCACCTTAGTTTCCGACCGTATTGTATTTAATTGCTTCGCTACCAATGCCCAAACGCCATTCAACTTTGAGATGGTTCTAATAGCACCTGTTACTGTCGCTGCAAACACAAGTCTAAAGCAACATTATTTAATGTAGTGGAACATAAGTTTTGATATACTACATTTTTTATTGTAATTTACTTTTGCTTGATACTAAAGTAAAAAATTTCAATTATTAAGCATCCGATAACTAATGCAATCGCCTGAATATAGCATTTTGAAGTTGTATTTATTACGTCGGTGAAGTAGTAACTGCAATCAGTTACTCATACTCATTGTTCACTCCATACAAATATTTAAATATCCTAGTTCTACCAAGTTATTCCGGCTCTTACTATTTGCGTATGTGTGAGCTGCGTTTGTCAACGCATACTTAATACAGAAGTTCTCAATTTATTTAACGGGTTTTAAAAGATCCATTAAATTCAAAGATCCACTTAGTACCTTGAGTAAAAAGTATTTTTCTACGCCAAGATAAATGTATGTAAGTAGCAAAATTAATTGGTTAATGACTAAGACGCTAATCAGAATTAATAATGGCTGCGATGGCACTACCAGCCGCTTCGATAGTTTTATTTTAGAACTAACCACTTTAGCATTGACTTATAACACTATTTATCTTTTCACAACATCTGAGTAATTATGTCGTTAACCAACTAATTACGCCAAAGTTTAAGATTTATTTAATTCAAGCTCTAACTAAATTTAACTCCATTTAAAACAAGTTCACTTAATTTATAAAGGACATGTTTGTGATATAAGTACAGAGTTACTATCAAGTATTTCACAAAACCTGGTATTGAGAAAGGTGTACTCTATTATTCTCTTAAGTTAATATATTATATATAATATCTACAAAATTTAAATAGAAAAGTTTTCATTCAATGTTTAGGTACGTTCAAAAAGAATTGTGATTAAATAGCAAATGATAGATGTACAGTACAACGAAAAAGAAGTAAATCTCCAAGATTTAAGTTCGTGGTCTGAAATAAATTCCGGTTAAGTTAAACCGACCAATTAACGCCAACATGTACGAGTATTGGCGTGAAGTCGCAAAAAAATGTAAAGACGTCTGCACGCGAGGCACAGTCTATTTTAGGAACCCTATCTCCATGGTAACGAACTCTTTACAGTCTATACTTGTCTTTAGACAATGCAAAAAGTGTCCCCACACTAGCAATAGTTTCCAAACATGTACAATAGACAACACGAGAAGAGAAAATGTACTTATAGTACCGCATTGTTTGTCTAAATATTCATATATGGTAACGTATGACCAAGGCTGGCGACCACGTCATCTGTGTCACAGTGATTTAATTGCCAAATCGAATTTACTATGCGATTAAACGACTTTTAATAAACTAGTGAATGGAATTAATTAATTCAAACTGCAAAAGATCAAAAATAGCAAAATGTCTTAAATGTTTTCTTAAATGGTAATATACGAACATTTCAACAACACTTAACAATTCATTCGTAGTTAGTTTGATGGAAGTAGTTAGTACCCAATGTTAGTATCATCAATTTGCTTTGAGAAAGTTTCATGTCAATCTTGTTCATGTATAAACTCAGCTTAAGAAAACTTTTACTAGAAACAAGTACTTATTAAAATTCTTCGGCGCTTGACAAAAATAAATTGTCTTTTTTATGAGATAGGTGTACATAAAGTACAAACAATTTTACTCTTAAAACAGTTTTAATGGAACTTCTCATTAGCCATTTAATAATCTGGATATTTGACAAGGATATTTACTTTTGGGAAACTATTCTGAAATATGAAACAAGTAAGAAACAAATTGGATAAAAATTTAAATCAAAGCAACTCGTATAAATTCTGGTATATCTACAGTCTACACCGTTGAAATAATATAAAAAGGGTAAAGATAATTAGTCGGAACTAAGGATCAAAAGATCTTTTGAGATACTAAATTAAAAAACAGGTATTTGGAGGCAGAAAACATTAAAATGACAACGCTTACCAGAAAAGGAACTTGCCAAACTTTTTACGACTAAACAAATAAAATTTGTTTTTATCCGACAGGAAAGTGAGAATTCTTATTGAACATACTTAACGTACCACTAGAGGACTTAAGTGAAGTTTCATAAAATCTTTTCTACTGTTTATTTATGTATGACAATGTATGTTATTGATAGACTACAAATTAAAATAATTGACTTGTCTTCAGTAAGGTTTAATACAAGAAATAAAAAAGTCATTGTTCAGTAGTGGACATTATGTAGGTAACACAACGATAATAATGCAGCTTTATTGTTTACAACAAAAAGTTGCGATCATTAAAAATATAGGTTGCTATTCCATTGCCCACTCTAAAATCACATTGGACCTATAAAAATAGGTTTTTCCTGTAACATTGGTCTGATAACAAGTACAATGAAACAAACGTGAGCATTTATTAGGTTTTATGAACTGTACGGTAATGTTAAAACTTTAGCATTAACACCAATTGGACAATGTAGGTCTTTGCCTGGCAACTTAGTATATTATTCCAGTTTTGCATTACACCAGTCGATTGCATCACCGGCTGTAATATCAGTGTACCGGATGCAGTAATGGAAAATCAACTTATCCTTACATGGAAAACTGCGTAGGGCACACACTGGCGTTAAGTATTATTAAAGATATTTAAATGACTATTACTCATTCCTACATAATTTGCATTTCTATACATATCTGGAGCATAAGCACCTTTTAGTTCTTTCTTTGAAGCTATAGATGTCTTCATAGTAATTGATTTATATTGTATGATCATTACTCATTTCAGATTGAATCATACTATCATTATATAAAATGTATCGATTTTTTACCACCTTAGGTCATCGTGCAAAAACTTGGAAGAGCATCTTGAAAGGACTTTCACTGGTCGAAAGTTTCGGGCGAAAATATATATATATATATGTACCTATATCGTCAGTGAATTTTTGTTCGTGTTATAATGTGATCATTATAACACGAACAAAATTTAGTTTAAGCACGAAACATCAATCAGGGTTTTAGAGGGAAGTGTTTCGACGTATACATTTTAATTTTATTTGTTTGTTGATTGAGATAGGAAACTCTAACTTAATGATTTTGAAGAATCTTATAGAAAGATCATAGCTGAGCTCCTCGTCTCAGTTTGTTTAGGGATTGACATTCATAACATCTCCTGGCGCTATATCTAAAAGCTCTTCATGACTCTAATTAATGTATCAATCCTCGATCTGGTCAACATCTTTACACTTTATAAAATAAGCTAAGAATATTTCTAATCCATATAGCAAAATTTCTAAGCTTTCATCATTACTAACTATATCATGTAACTGCCGATACACTCTAATCAACCCAAAAGAGCGATGAAGTGGTAAACTAGAAGAACTAGAAGTTTTTGGTTCACAAATTTTATTTCTATAGAATTCAAACCTTCAAACAACTATTTTCAAGTCGGCTGACACGTGTTAAATTTCACAAGTAGGTATCGGCCCACTCAGGTCCGCTCTGTCAACATCACAGCTGTCGAAGAGTCCCGCCCGTGGAGATATGAAAAAACATTCGGGTAACCTAATTTTTTAAATATCTTCTAGAATAAACTTGATTTTCGAAGTACCTAAATTTAGATAATATAACCACATTCGGCACCTATCTATCATTTCAGAAATTAAAATCCAAAATGTTCATGATATTTTCTTAGAGGAATTAGGAACTAGATAGTCGCTTCATAATAATAATAAAACAAACGAGTTTGTTATGAGTTTTTCACATTCTTTCGTACCATCATGAACTAATTTTCTCATGGAAACAACAGCTCATGCCGTTGTGTATTGACTTTTTAGAATTAACTACCAATGTACTTTTACCGAATTATATACTGCAGTCAGTATCTACATATATTTTATACCAAATCATCCATATAAGAATGATTTTCTTAAAAATATCTATTTACTGCAAGTAATTGGCATTCGTCATAGTTTCTCACCAAAAGTATTGGATTTTTGTTAGGATTTCCCAGGCAAATATTTGAGGTCACCAAATTATTGAGTCTTCCTTATGACCTTGTTGGTACCTATTTTCAAATACAGTATTCTGTTGTGGTGTTTGTATGTTTCAATGTTTTAAACTTGGTAACCCTACAAGTGTCCACGTAAGAGTAATAAAGCACGTTGCAGTGAAACTATCTGGTTTTGCAATTCTTACTGTCGCCAATAAGTTCCGATGTAGTGTATATTTACGTAACAACACCATTTAAAAAGCTTGAGATACGCTTTGTGAATTACTTAAATATTACCTAGAAAATTGTGGTTATGGGCTCAGTTGTTCCTAGAAGAAGTTGTTAAGACATCTATCTTCAAAGAACTAATTCATTTTGTTACAAAAAAGTCTCCTGTTAGACAGGTTTTATATAGTAATGTGACGACGCTAGGAACCTTTATTATGTAGTTTGTTTAATGCAGCAGTAATCATATAAGAACAGTTGTCAGTTTGTCTTTGGTGACAATATTTAAATAGCCAAGTGAAATGTTTAGTAACCCAATTAGAGTATCATAAAATTTTAATGAGAGAAAAATGAGCTGTGAGTTCCTCGTTAATTATATAAAGCATGAACAATATAAGTGAAGTAGGCAAGTGAACGTTTCACAGAGGTGAACTCAAGCGAGCTAAAATGAATGTTAAGTTATTGGAATGAGATCAGAGTAGAGTGTTGGTAGAATGCGAGCGCGGTCGCAGGGTCGAGTCGTGCGAAGTTGCGCTTGCGACAGTGCAGGATGCATCGGCAAGTCGCGTGAGCCGAGTGTGACTCTGGACAGCTATATGAGACCAACCTTGAGATCATCGGTGAGTGCGGGAGCTGTGGTGCACGGGGCTCATTCCTCCCGGTTGATGCAGTCCGCCTTCCCTCGCCGACAGGCGAACAGCCGTTAGGCAACTCCGTGGAACTTGCCACACAGCGGAGACAGTAATACTTGTTAGCAATACACTTTTATGTTGTACAGCTAAAAACACACTATCACTTAGCACTACACCTACACTCCAAGGGTCGGAGTTAACCGTTCGTTTAACGGGCACTCGTACGACAATGAAGCAGCGACAGCCGGTCGGTGTTAGGACGTACGACCGAGATGTTGGTCGGACAATGACTGAACGCGAAGTCACAGGCTGCGGCGCTCGCGCAGGTTGCGCGGCCCCTCGCGACCCGCACGCCGCGGCCCCCGCGTCCGATGCAACCTTACTCTGGAACGCGTTCCCAGTGGCCGAGCTTTTGCAGCCCTGCTCTATCTACACCGCATACTAAGGCTGCAAGGGCGATAAAGCGAGCACCAAACCCGTTCGCCCACTATTGCAAAAAGACAGAGGCACCCATGTAGCCCTCCGCCAGAAAGGTCGAAGATTAGAATACAAGGGCATACCAACAATTTTGACAAAATTGCCAGAACTTTCTGTCTGGACCTTGAATTTATTTTATTAGGGACTGGTTGTAGTTGTCAGATAAATGAATTAAATTTATTTGAAGATAATTCTTATAACTTTATTATAAAACATCAACCATGTTCACATAATCACAAATCAGTTTTCATCAGTCCATTAACTCTACACAGTACGGGGCCCTTAGCGGCTTTTACATCGAATGAGTATAAATTGAATCACGGCACACATTCCTGCTAGGTCTATCTAAGAGATACAAAAAGTGTGGCTTCTGTGTGGCTATTAACATCCTCGTCGGCAGAAGGCGCGCCGCGGCCGCTGGGTGCTCGGCTCGCGGCTTGCGGCGGCGTGCGGGGATCAATAAGCGCTCTTCGTTTTTTTCTCATCACCAATTACATCTATTTTTATAGGTCCATTGAAAAACACAATCGCAGTAATGGCTCTACAATTCGATTGTCCGAAGAATACGCCTCTGGTGATGTTATTCAAAGGCGCTCGATAAAAGCAAAATTGAATACAGAATAACATAAGCGTAGGTAATATGTCATTACATTAAAACAAAAAGATAAAACGCAGATATACACCAATGTGCCCGCAGGCTGCTCACTTCTGCAAATCTTATTGCAATTATTCAGCCAATTTTACTCTATAAATTAAACAATCAAAGTAATGATAAATAACCACCATTCAAATAATGATGATAACATTTAGGTAAGTTAAATATCGTTATTGGTCATTATAATAATAATAATATAGTATAACGAAGCCCTATTACAAAAATAAATAAAACAAAAAATATATTATATAACAGAAATATAATAATCCACAGGATAAAATTATAATATTGCAAACGTAGTATTTTAGTTTGGACAAATAAGACAGAGTATGTGGAAATAACAATTTTTCAAGAAAGGAATATCTTTTAAACTGCTACGTACGTAGACCATTTCATATGACCCATATATTAGACATCAACGCGCGCACTCCCGAAGAGTTTTCATCGAACAAGTGATACCGCTGATATGAACATACACTGATACGGGGATTTTTATAAATACCGCGTCAGAAATACTCAGAATAGTAGCAGTACAAATAAAGAAGAACTTAACGTATATTCTTAGTGGCAAAAAAGTAACAATGACGTGATTTCGTTTGAAAATAGAGTCGGTAACTTTATATTGAATGGAATATTTTAAACTACTCAATTTCATTATTTATCTCGGTATTTCAAAAAACTACAGTTTTCAGACACACAGATTTTAAGTAACGACCGCGACATCGTGAACTGTGATTCCTTTTTAAATTTATATATATATACATTTTTTTTTTTGGTATTTATTAGGTTGACACTAACTTGTTATGATATTAGACTACAAAATGTCACTGCAATAAATTCACTAACTTTTGAATTAACTTAAAAAAAAACATTCGCTCTTAATCCGCATATGTATACATATGTACACATGTATTGCATGAAAGTGTTGAAAGCCTTGGCTTTCGAGGCGAATACATGACTATAGGTATTCGCTTAATTTGCTCTTTTTTGTCGTCTTCGAATATTATAAAATTATCAATCAGATAAATAATGTACTCAATCTCCTTTAGTTACAGCTTCTAAGAAAGCATGAAACTCTTAAACCTGTTATGAGTTCAGCGCTAAAATTATTGTCGTTCTCGATCAATGTCGCGAATATTACGATTTATTTTATACAAGTAAAGAATTGTCTTTACTATAGAATTATATATACCACTTCATATACGTACCTCTAGATTTAGTAATTTTCTAATTATAGATGAACAATAAGCTTTCGGTTTTGATTACATCACTGATGATTATTCATTGGGTATACCCATTAGTAAAAACATTGGCACGTACAATATACACATATTTTTTGCATCACAGTATCGTCGAGGCTCAAGTTCTTGTGGTCAATACAAGATATTCGTGTAATCTAATCCTGATTTGTTAAAACGATTGATTCATTTTACAACAAGGATTGATATTGTCAAAAGAGTTATATAGATAGGAGCAGCTCTATTTCAGATACTGACAATAATAATTTGAATAAGGATCTGACTACGATTTAGTCTATAAGAAGACATTTTTCAATGCTTGATCGATGTTAACAGAAAAACCAAATGTGGAACTTTTTACCTTAAATATCAAAATAGTAAAATAAGGATCAATGGCTAGCTAGTGCTGTAAGGACATTAATGTGGGATAAGAATCAAGCAAAGAATAAATTAAATATATTATAGATATAGTGTTTTTCAAGTTTTGTCAATCCATAAAATTTGATACACGTAATGAACGAATGTGTTATAAAAATAATCAATAAAACAAAATTTTTTATTATTTTATATTCATATTCGAAGTAAAAAATCACAAAATACATAAAAATTATAAAAATAAACCACGATCCCTTGCGAGTTGGCATAAACATAATAAGACCATATTATTACATTATAGCAACAAATCCGGTTGTTCCTTCAACATTCAAAATAGATTCCACTTAATACATTCGCATTTTAATTCTTTCCAGTTTTATTTCCATTTTAAGGCGATAAATCTTTAAGTGTATTAAAATAAAACGGATGATATCGAACGTCTTTAGTTGCTGCCAGCAAATTTATTTAGTCTAAGAACAATAGTATAGATTGGAGAAGGTTATCTACATATTTATACCCTTATTGAGGAGGTCATCTCATGCGGAACACAGATAGTATTGATTTATCGTACCTTCGTATGTAACATGCAATTCGTGAGGTTGTAGCAAACGGGAGGTCTCTCCGAACACGAGATTGCAGATCTTCATCGCAACGATAATCTGAATTTCTAACAGGGCAATACAACATACATTTTTTATCTAAAAAATATATCGACTTTAATAGAGGAAGATGCATTAATACTGTAAATTCTCACATTTGGTGGATTAAAATGTAATATACTTCATATTACGTGTTCTTTAAGATATGTATCATGTATCTGTCCTCATCTTCGACGACGTGTAAATACCTGTACCCTGTACAAAACTAGTATGATTTGTTTGGAATGTGTCGGGCAGTCGGGTACGCCACTCGTCGCTGCTCGCTGCTCGCCACTGTCATTCTTACGGCATCGGCACCAGGTGAACCATAATTTCCTGTTGTATAGCCGCAATCGAGTTAATTGTTTCAAGAGGTAATTGGCTTCTACTTATTAAAGAAATATCTTTACAGCCCGCCGACTATAAACTTGAGCATCTATAAAAAATGATGTTATGTACTGGCGATACTTGGTCTCTATCTGACAAAGTGTCAGTTATGTGCCTACCGACTATTATGAATTTTATTTTATGAATGCACGAATACACGACAGAAACAATGCATATTGTTTTAAAATTAGCTTTTACTCTCAGGATGACTAGATATTTTCAGGTTTGACTAGAACTTAATATAAAAGTTACGTAAGAACACCTTTGTTTCATTCAATTTACAATTTTTCTCTTATGCACGTATAGAAACAGAAAGCTTAAGAAAAAACTGAGGCAGTTGTTGTGAACTGTATAATTATCTGCAGCGGTCATATTATGTTCGGCCTTACACTTAGTGCAAACTGAACCGTTCTTGTTTCTAATTCCCAGCGACTTGAATGTTGTAGTCATTTTCCACGGCATAGCAGCGACGGCGTGCGACGCGGCGTAGCGGTGACCGGAGTTATCCGGTACCTCGGCGACCGTTAGGTCGCCGAGGTACTCACACTCTGAGGGCAGACACCGACTCCCAACTACATATTTACACCGAAACTCGACAATAGTTGGTATACAAGTCGTCATTATCATAACCCGAGTCAGTGTCACGGTCGGCTCGCCATCGCAATCGTGGCCCGCCATCGCACAAGGTTGCAGCGCATACGTGTCCACACGTAACGTTATGCCATGTCTCTGTAATACACCGCAACCATATGATCCTCTCCAGCAACTGTAGTTTGTAATAGAACCGTTTTATCTTCCACAAAACGAACTTTTCGTTCCGCAATCATTTAACAGCATCATGACTTTGAGACGCTGCATGCTGTTTGTACTTCTTTCTAAAAGTTAATACAACAATGTACAAATTCGTGGGTCTCTAATCTCTATTTACCTACCTAATGAATCCAAAAACTAACTAAACTATGTACTTGCATGATAGAGGTATCAAAAATACAAATAATATAGTCGAGCTAAGGGTCACTAACCGGACCTACTCAAATTTTATATTTTCGAAACCTACAAACATAATGACGTTTTCGCAGATATATTAAAAATTGTAGATTTTTACAGGCAGTTAAGTGAATGCTTGCATTTTTTTACTGCCTTACCTCAAACACAAATCGATTTTATGCGATCGTTGGCGCTGAGGAAAGCCAATAAAATGCTATTTAATGGCTAGTAGTTTGACAAAATAATTTATCGAGAGTTGACGTCGATCCCGTGTCAAATTCTGTATGGCTAAACAACGCCGATTTCCCATCTCAGTAAATTGCTTAGTGTGCAGATAGAAGTTTACGTTTAAATCAAAATATTTGACATTGTAACACAAGTTTCTTGAATATTGAAACAGCTTTGTATTCATAAACAAATTCATTTATACGATACTTAAACGTGTTCTCCATACTGTAAGGTACGCGTAAAAGCCTCCTTGGGATAAGTATTTTGTCTGCATTTAAAAACAACTTT